TCGATTTGCCGACGATATAGTCCTTATGGTAGAACTGCTGGAGGACTTAAGCACTATGCTCAATGACCTCAATAGTGCCTCCCAACGGATAGGTCTTAAGATTAACATGGACAAAACAAAGATCATGTTTAAAGCCCATATCACACCTATGCCGGTAGTTGTTGGGAGCACTAAGCTCAAAGTTGTTGTTGTAAGTCCAACTTCGACCGAGAGCTCAATCGACGGATTCAACTCGGCTGGGCAGCGTTCCGGAAATTACGACACATCTTCTCGTCAGGTATACCTCAAAACCTTAGAACTAAGTTGTACAACCAGTGCGTGTTGCCAGTGATGACATATGGATCTGAGACGTGGTCCTTCACTGCTGGCCGTATGAGGACGTTCAAAGTCGCTTAGCGAGCTATGGAGAGGGCTATGCTCGGAGTTTCTTTGCATGATAAACTTTAAAATGAGGATATCCGCAGTAGAACCAGAGTGACCGACATAGCCCAACGGATTAGTAAGCTGAAGTGGAAATGAGCCGGTCATATAGCTCGAAGAACCGATAACCGTTGGGGAAAAAAGGTTCTCGATTGGTAGCCTCGTACCGGCAGACGAAGTTTAGGGCGACCCCCCACTACACTAGATGGAGTGACGACCTGGTAAGACATGCGGGAAGTCGATGGATGCAGGTGGTTCAGGAACGTGCTTTGTGGCATACCTTGGGGGAGGCCTATTTTCAGCAATGGGCTTGTAAAGGTCTGTAATGATGATGATGATGATTCAAATCACATTTTTAGGATATTTTAAAATTTTAATGAAAGGAATTCGGCCACCTTCACCCACCAAGCGAAACGCAGAGGTAAATATCTACTTTACGCTAATATTCTGTGAGGTCGTGGTACCAACCTGGTTTGAGTCTATCCATCCGTGTGACAGCAAAAGCTATGAATATTCTCATTTCTAAGTTTATCATGCAGAGAAACTCCGAACATAGCCCTCTCCTGAAAATAATCTCTCTGAGCGATCTTGAGCTTCCTCATATGGCCAGCAGTGAAGGATACGTCTCAGTTCCATAAGTCTTCACTGGCAACACGCACTGGTTGTACAATCTCGTTTTTGAGTTTTGAGGTACGCCTGCCTATCCAAATTGAGTCCTTCGTGTAACCTCTCGGTCGAAATTGAACTTACGTAGTCAGACGATTTGCCCTAGGTAAACGTACTCATCAACAACTTGGAATCTAGTGCTCCCTGGCATAGGTGTGACATGAACTTTACACATGATCTTTGTTTTGTCCATATTCATTTTAAGACCAATCCGGTGGGAAGCACTATTGACGTCATAGAGCTTAATAGTTAGTTTTTCCAGTGATTTCGCTCATAGGACTATATCGTCGGCAAATCGAAGGTGAGTGATATACTCGTCATTGATGATAATACCGTATCATTTCCAGTTCAGAAGCTTTAAAACGTATTCTAATGCAGTGATGAAGAGTTTCGGGGATATAACGTCACCCTGTCTTACACCTTTCTGCAGTTGGGTAGGTTTCGCACTCTGGTTCTGTATTCTGATATCAATTGTAGCCCTACTGTAAAAAATACATCAGCATATCGAAATACTGATAGTCAACTTGGCAACGCTGAAGGGACTGCAGCAACGCCCAAATTTCGAATAAACTTCATCATATCAAAAACTTTATCATAGTTCACATACGCAAGACATAGTGGCAGATCATACTCTTACGTCTTCTTTACAATTGACCGAAAGGCATGTATATGGTCTATGGTACTAAAGTCGTCTTTTTGGAAACCGGCTTGTTCGGGGAGTTGGTGGTCGCAAGAAGATTCGTGATGACTCTGCGGTTCAGATGGGAAATCGGTCTGTAGTTCTTCAAGAGAGCCTTTCTTGAAGAACAAGAACACCGCAAATTTGCATCACGCCTCCGCAGTACTACCATCATAGAGGACGTGATAAAGAGCTTCTGAAAGACTTCAAGTACCGGTTATCCACCCGATTTGAGAATCTCCGCTGTAATCTTATCCTTGCTTGGGGATTTGCTGTTTTAAAGGTGTTGGAGAGCCATTCCAATCTCGCTCAGACTGACGTCCGAAATATCATACTTACTTTATTCATTTTACAATACTGTCTAATAAGAATTTCTCAACTTGCGTGTGGCTCCAACGACGATATCTACAGCTGCCTTTAGAATCTTTTAATTGCTCTTTAATTTCAGGTGTGCCGGAAACGATGCTGCCATATTCGATCTTCAGTTTCGTCGGTTGACTCTTTCTGACAGACACATCTCCGGCGAAGACTTGGAGCCCCGGTTTCACTTGATCACTTCTTTAATACGAGCTTTACTAAAGTTGTAAGTCCCGTCACACGCATTTGGAGATTAGTCTGAAAATTTCAGCTTCCAGAACTTTGGTCCTACTGCATGGACACTTTCCACGAACTTATCATTCATATCGTTCACGGCATTGCAGTCTTATAGGCACTGAAAATGACTTTATAACTCGAACTGAAAGTTTTCACGACTTTGTATTAGAGCACGAGGGGGACAGTGTGTTGACTTCATCAGACGTGACGTCTCCAACTTAAGGTTTAGGTTGAGTGTTCCTCTCACTATTCGGTGATCGCTGCCAGTTTCACCCTTGCGACCACTGCGACATCATTGAATAGCCGTCTAGTCGCCATAATTAATTCAATCTCATTTTTTGTCGAACCGTCGGGGCTTGACCAAGTTTATTTTCTGTGGCGAAGAAATCAGAAGCAATCTGGAAGAAAGAGTTCATCATAGTAGTAGAGTCCCTCTTCCTTAAATGCCACGAATAAACCGAACCTAACTTTTTTTTTCATAGGGAAATGCCTGCGCTTACCTGCCTTGTGGCTAGTAACTTCAGTTTTATGAAAAAACAGGGAAGAGATCCACTCTCACAGAATACTAGCGGAAAATAGCAGATTAATGCTGCTGTGTTTCGTATAGTGAGTGTAGAGAACCGGAGACCCTTTTTACTGGAAACGAGGCATTCCATCTTAGTACCTCATGGGTGACAACGCATTTCACAATGCATTTTCATTCTTGATCGATGATTTCTTGAGTACAGATGTAGACGTATAGGGGTTACAGCATTTGGTAAAGTAAGCAAAACACTTGGACAATTATTAAGTTTTTTTGATTTAAAACACAATTTGATACATAATGTTAATGAAGGTTTCTTTATTTTATATCGAACCCTGTAATACAATTATAAAGGATGTTGTACAAAAATTTCACGCATTAACAATGGTAACACCTTTATATCTTTGACATTTAATATCCAATATATTAGCGTTTAAAAAGGAAGTATTATGATATAACATTTAATACAAAGTAAACATTCAAATACTGATATCCTGGCTTTATTTCTACTATCAATAAGTTATATTGATCTCTTATATTATTATATATAGTTGTTTGAAGTAAGTTTTTACTTTTTATTAAAGTTTCCTTTTTAGGGTTCCGTAGACAACTAGGAACCCTTATAGTTTCGCCATGTCTGTCTGTCCGTCTGTCCGTCCTCGCTTAATCTCTGTGACCGTTAGGACTAGAAAACTGAAATTTGGTACCAATATGTGTATCAATCACGCCGATAAAGTGGTAAAATAAAAATTGGAAAAAATGTTTTATTAGGGTAGCCCCCCTATATGTAAAGTGGGAAGTGATTTTTTTTTTAATTTCAACCCTAACGTGTGATGTATTGTTGGAAAGGTACTTAAAAATGAATAGGGGTTTACTAAAATCATTTTTTTATAATGTCAATTATTTCGGAAATAATCGCTCCAAAAGTAAAAAACAATGTGTCCCCCCCCCCCCTCTAACTTTTGAACCATAAGTTTAGAAAATATGAAAAAAATCTGAAAAGTAGAACTTTATAAGGACTTTCTAGGAAAATCATTTTAAACATGGATGGAAACAACAGATTTTGTACAAAAAAAGACAAAAAGTTGTACAAAATAATTTCTGGATTAAGTTTGTAGTATAATCGTTTATGCAAGCATTTTTTTTAACTTCGTTTACATACTTTATTATCCTGAACGTATCTTTTTTCAAACAAAAAAAGAATTATTAAAATCGGTTATCGCACTCCAAAATAACAACCGAAAACTTCTGACACGTCTATGTATTAATTAGTAACCCAATTCCCCGAGAGATGGCGCTGTAGGTACTTATTACACTGGGCCGGGTATTATCGAATTGTTCGGTTGGTCTCTCCTTGCCGTTGGCGGTATCTTATAACTACATAAAACTTCTATCAGGAACATGCTAAGGCAATTTAGAACAAAACTAAAATTCATTTTTTTAACGCCATCAAAATGTTAAGTTAAAAACCAGTTCATAAATGGTTCGATCGATGGCGTTGCGTAATGATGTTATTTTTTTAAAAGTCGATGTTAAGATTTTCCGTGCTTTCATGACCTACCGTGGTAAAGGAAGTTGCACTTAAACATATTCGTAATTTTATGAGTGCACAATCTAATAGTCGTCGAGGTTTGATTAAATTAGATTGTGGGTAAAATTAACTTCTTTTGCGGATATTGTAAATATTAATTTTGTATGTACGCACAGTACGCTGTTACTTGATACGTACAACTCCTAGCTAATTACGATTTGAAGTGGGCTAGTTTGTTAAAATACATAGTGTTGCCTATACAGTATAGTTACATTGAACACTTGTGTATAATTACTTATTGTCTGGTATTAAAATGTTCTCGTATATTTTGAACAGTAATAATCACGTTGAGGACGATGCTGTACGCGCATTTCATAATTTGTTAGCCCAACACACATCATTTCGGCCTAGAGAAGTGTCTCTTTTTCTTTATCCGGAACTTAGAGCCTGTGCCTCAAAACGAGTCTCATTTAGAAATTATATATGGCGGAGAAGTCGGGTTTGTGGAGCATTGGATTTGCATTTATTACATCAATGGAATATTACAGGTCTATGATAGTTTATATAATAGTTTAAGTCATTTGCGAATGACGTGCTGCACGAAAAACGTGCTGCAGCACGTTTACGTTAACGCACTATTCCCATACTTGGATAATAATAAAATACAATTCCTTAGTTTCCAAGGTCAATCAAATAATAGTATTGAGTGTGAGCTATTCGCCATTTGTTTTGTTACCGCTTTAGCTTTGAGAGTTAATCCATCCTGTATCAATTTCATTGCCGAGGACATGCGACGTCATTTGTTTGATATGTTATCTCGAGGTGTATTAGAACTTTTCCCATCAACTAACACCGCAAGAAGAGCTGGCCGGCCACCAGCAAATTTGTTCCTTAATATACTAGCAAAGAAAGAAAAATGTAAAATTAAGGATGCCGAAAAGAAAAAAAACAAAAGATCTCAAGAAACTGAAAGTCAAAACGCTAATAACAAGAAAAACATTGAATACCCCACATTTACAGATAATACGCAGATATTTGAAAGTCCAACGTTTACAAGTAGTACGCAGATATTTGAAAGTCCAACGTTTACAGGTAGTACACAGATAATTGAAAGTCCAACATTTACAGATTAATCACAGAAAGACAAAAATCCGACTAATGATATCTAGACCATTTACTGTTTAGCACTTATGTATATTACTAAAGAAAAACCAAGTCCTACATTAAGACATGCCAACAACGAACATACTGGGTCCAGCCAAGCCAAACGTAGAAGAAAAAATACTGATTACTCACAGACTAAGCAAATACGAAACACTGAGAGCCACAAGGCCACTCGTAAGATTCCCGTCATTAGACAGGCAGAGCAACAACGTAACACGCAGGCTCATCGTGTAGCTCGAGAAAACCCTATCTTCCGGGATACAGAATAGCAGCGAAATACGCAGGGTCACCGCATAGCTCGGGAAAACCCAGTCTTCCGTGATATAGAGCAACGGCGTGATACCCAGGCTCACCAAATAGCTCGCGAAGATCCACATTATTCACAAATTGAACGAGCTAGAGACACCAGAGCTCGATAATCGGCGCGTTGTAATTCTATTAATGATTGGGATAATGGTAAACGAAAATATTTTGATAACACCAAGAAAGGATACAATCATCCTTGTTCATGTTGTAGTAGATTATGGCACAAAAATTCTGTAAGGAAACTAATAAAGCATTCTATTTCGACTAAATATAATGCAGAATCCACGTTAAGTGTATTTAATTTAAATCCTTGTGATGAATCTGCGGAGTTTTGTTGTACGTGTGCTAAATATATCTCAAGGGCGAATGCCACGATTGGCAATAGCTAATGGATTGAAGTTTCCAGATAATCCGGATGTTTTGAATGAATTAACTTCAATGGAGGAGAGATTAGTAAGTCCTCATTACGTATTTTTGAAAATAGTTCGTAGAGGCCAGGGATTAGGATATCAGCATGGTTTATCAGGAAATGTTATTAATGTGCCTGTAAAAATTAATAACATGGTAAAAGCTTTGCCTCGGTCGATAAATGATGACAGTGTCATCACTGTAGAGTTGAAGCGTAAATTCTGTTATAAACATGGTCGAAAAGAACAAGTCCGCCCGGAAATCATACGGAGAGCAGCGGAATATTTAGTAACGTGTGATCTGTTTCGGACATATGGTATAGAACTTGAAGGTTCATGGACAAATAATGAACCTGAAGACACCGTCGAATATACCTGTAGTTCACCTGCGCAGGAGAGCAATGTTGATGAGATCCCTGATGTAAATCCTGGTGGCATAGAAACTCTGTTAGATGAAAACCAAGACCTAACAATAGTTATGGCTCCAGGAGAAGGTGAAAGGCCAATTTCCTTGTTTTTTGATCGACATCTGGAAGAGCTGGCCTTCATAAAAGTACATTGCGCTATTGAGCGAAAATACCTCGTGAACTTAAGTCATTCTGAAGTTACCCGTTCAGAAATTTCCAGAAATAACAGGGGAGCTGTAAGACCTGATTACCTATTTACTGCACTGAAAAAGCAACAAACTATTGCCGTCAAAAATAATGTTACGACCTGTTTACGCAAAAAAAAAACTGTTAGAGGTGCCCCTGTATTTGCATGTAATGTGTTTCAAAATAATTTTGTTGACAATTTAGTTCAACATGACGATGGGTATCGTGTTCTTGAAGTAATTAGAAATTCTCCTGCTCACTGGAAAAGTGAAAAAAAAGAAGTTGTTGGCAATGGTTAGACAGTTCAGTGTTCCCACTTTATTTTTAACTATATCTGCTGCTGAAGTGCAATGGATTCCATTATTAATTTTGCTTAGTAAAGTAGTTGATAAGAAAAAACTTACTGAGCTTGAAGCGGAAAAGTAAAAAGTATTAATAGAACTTTCAAAAGACGATCCAGAGTTCAAAAAGTCAAAACAATTGGCAAAAGACATCTGCCAAAAAATACAAAATATTCCTGCAGGAATATACACTTTCGTTGATTTTTTGGACTGGATTAGAGTTACTTATGAAGATTACATATTTGCTATTAGAAGCACCTTAAAACGACCTACGGTAGTCCTTCAACGTAGACCTGAGGATGTATTTATTAATCCTTTTGGTAAAAACATCTTAGCTTTGCACAAAGCAAACATGGACATCCAATTCATATTAAAACCCGTTTGCGTGCGCAGTATATATTGTTGACTATATTAACAAGGCTGACTGAGGGATGTCTCGTCTTTTGCGTGAAGCTTTGGACAAAGCTAAAAAATGAAATAAAAGTATTAATATTCATTAAAAATAGTATCTAACGTATTCTTAAATTCTAGTGAGATCTCTACTCAAGAGGCAATCTATGTACTGACTGGTTTACCGCTGTCACGAGCTAGAGAAGCTGCAATGTACATAAACACTAGTTTACCACAAGAGCGAGTGCATATTTTAAAAAAGTTACCTTGAATTGCAAAGCCTCGAACCTAATTCTTCCGATATATTCCAAAAGGGTATTATTGATTATTATTCAAAACGACCACTATCGTTAGAAAATATAAGTCTTTCCTATTTTGTAGCATATTACACCTATTCCAAAAAACTCATTCAGCTAGTTCAATAGAAACTCTCAATGACAGTTCTCAAGCAATTGATTATTCCCAGGCTGTTGAAGAAGTTGAAGCGGAAGGGAATTGGGCTCCTTTGCAAGATAATTTAGAATACATACGGAAAAGAACTAAAACTCGAATAATACGATTTCGCTGGTACAGTTACATTGATTATCCAGACAATTTCTATAGGGAACAGATAATGCTATACATCCCTTGGAGAAGCGAGGAGGAAGAATTACTAAATCCTAACATAAATATAAAGGACATATTTGATGAGTATAAAGAAAGAATAAAGGCTGAAAGCAAACAATTCAATAAACTAGGTGATGCTGATTTTTTTTAAAACATTGCTAACAGAAATCAGAAATGTAGAATTAATAAACGAAGAAGAAGATTTGCAAGGAAGAGGAGTCAACGTGGATGTATTTGAAGGCTTTGAATTTGAGACGCAAACAGTAGATATAGCAGAAGACCTCATTCCAGGCGGAAATCTCGGACCGCAATTGTGTGGTGACCCCTCAACTCTCATTGTGCAACCGCCTCTCTTGTCCCATGACGATTTTTTGATTCTAACTAGAAAACTAAATGATGCTCAAAGAGACACGTTATTTCATATTTATCAACACTTTTCCATTACTTCTCCACATCGACTATATGTATTTATCAGTGGTGGGGCTGGCGTTGGCAAAAGTATTCTGATTAAAGCAATTTATCAATGCCTAACTCTCTTATTTAACAGAGAAACTGATAGTAATCCCGCCTTTACCGGTAAAGCTGCATTCGGAATAGGAGGGCATCCATAGCGCACTTGGATTTCCAGTGTCTCAAGGGGGCAATATTTTACCAGAGCTGTCGAGAAATTTGGCCAATACTCTGGCCACAAAACTAGCAAAACTACGTTTAATTGTAATTGATGAAATTTCAATGCTAGGATCCAGGACATTCCATCAAATAAATCGTAGACTTCAGCAAATATTTCATTCTTCTACCTTCTTTTATGGAATTTCAGTAATAGTAGTTGGAGACTTCAGACAATTACCACCTGTTGGCGACAACTGGGTGTTTCAAGCTAATTCTCGAAATCCTTTAGCAGAAATAGCAGGTACGCCGCTTTGGGATTTATTTGTACTGACTACTGACAGAGCTTAAAAAAATAATGGGTCAAAGGGATGATGTCGCCTTTGCAACGCCATTAAATAATATGGCTAGTGGATGTATGTCACCTGAAGATGTCAATTTAATTGAAGGTCAGTGCTTTAGTAACTCATCACTTCCAGACACGTGTAAGGGCGCAGTTCATCTATTCAGCAGTAACCGAGAAGTTGATGAGCATAATTCTAAAATACTCTCAAATATGACTACCGAAGGAGCGATATTCCGGGCTGTGGATAGAGTAAGTGGCGAAACTAATCCTGCTATGAAAGAAAAAGCTCTAAATACAGTTGCCAAGTTACCTACGTCTCAAACCTACGGATTACCTAATGCTATAACTTTAAAAGTCACGGCTAAATATATGATGACAGTAAATATTAACACGTCAGACGGACTAGTGAATAGAACCACGGGGGTACTGACTGCGATTGAATTTGCAGTCAATCCTACTACCGGTGAGAGAAGACCATTACGCATTTGAATATGTTTCGATGACGTTTAACGAGTTGACGAGGGAAATTAAAAAGAATTCAGAGCTCAACATCCCTCACTCGTTATCAAACACGGTTAAAATAATTGGACTCCAATAAAACCAGTTACGGACACTGTGAAAAGGTACAAATCTTCAAACCTACAAGTGAGTCGCAGTCAATTCCCACTAGTTCCCGCTGAAGCTGTTACTATACATAAAAGTCAGGATTCCACCTTAGAAAAAGTTGTAGTACATTTAAAGCCCAAAATTTTAAGATCTATGTTATACGTCGACTGCTAACGTGCCACTAGCGCTCAAGGTTTATTGTTACCGAGACCTTTCGTCCTCCACATCCAAAATCTGAGCATGATTCCGTCGTAACGGAAATGCGAAAATTAAAATTATATCCCCTGATTCCCATATATCGCTTTTTGCAGTTCCTGCCAAATTATGTTCCATAACGTACAATCTCTACGTAAACACTTGCAGGATGTAGTAACCGATCCACAGACGATGGCATGCGACATTTATTTAGCCGTAGAAACTTGGAATTGCCTTCAAGATTTATTCAATATGAATAATTTTGAAGAAATAGTTCGAACAAATGGCCTGAAACAGTATTCTGCAAACCCCGGCTTTGGTGTATCTGCAATGATAAGACATAATCTAGAATATTCCAACCCACGATCTTACAGTGAAATTTCCGGAACTGAGCACTAAGTAAATAATGTGAAAATAGTAGCCTTATATAGATCATCCAAATGCCCTAATAGCGTCGCAGTGGGTTTTATAAATAATTTACTGTCGCATAATAGTTCTTGCATTATATTTGGAGATTTTAACGAAGACTACCTTAGTAACAGCAATACTGCAGTATTTAAATTACTAAATGACGCTAGTTATCACTCTATGTTACAACCCCTACCCACTACTTGTGGTGGGACTCAAATAGACATCATTTTCTCGAACTTTCCATATGTGGTTGGAATCTATAACTTTTTTTTAGTTATCACCGTCCTTTGTGGGTCCGTTTTTAGTGTTCCGTAATTATTAGAGTTCCGAAACCAATAGCCTTTTTAAGTTGAGTTACCACTATGTTCGCGCTCCAGCAGTGATCCGCGCTCCTGCTACTGCTCCAATGGATACGTCGCGCGCACTTCTACATGCGCTCCCCTTTGACACACTGCGCTCCCCTTTGTGTTCGCGCTCAAAACCATCACGAGTCAGAGCGCCTGCCACGGAGCGTGCAATGTTGCACGCAGTTGCAGGAGCGCGGAGCGCTGCTGGAGCGCAAACACATAAGTGGGTACACTTATTGTGACGGACGGGAAACTACGGAACCCTACACTGAGCGTGGCCCGACACGCTCTTGGCCGGTTTTTATTCCTATGAGTGACAATCATAATGTCATCTAAATAGTTCCATAAAAATTTTATTACATATTTTTACACTCTTTGAGGTGGAATTTTCCATCTAAATATATGTATCGACCCCACAAGTACTTATAACTTATTCAATAAAAAAACCATCAAATACGGTTCACAATTGTCGAAAAAAATGGCGTAACATACAAAAGTAATACATTCGAATTATCAACCTCCTCACGTCTGTAAATACAGTAAAACCTCAACATTATCAATGTATTTTACGCGTTCGTAAATAGTTTCGATAACCGCTCCAATCGCTCGTAAACCATCTTAAGCGGGATGTTGAACAAAAATTTGCCTGAAACTGACAGTTCGATTTTTCCGGCCTATAAAATATAATCCGTACATATTCTGTGCTAGATATATGGCCGTTTAATACAATTTTGTTGAATATTTTAAATTTATTTACATAACGTTAAAATTTTTGTTTGAGATTTTTTTAAATTTCACACGTCAACTGCTGAACATAGACCTCTCCTAAGGAACACCACATAGCACGCTCCTGGGCTACCTGCATCCATCGACTTCTTGATGTCTTACCAAGTCGTCACTCCATCTAGTGGGGGGTCACCTTACACAACGCCTACCGGTCCGCGGCTCCCACTTGAGAATCTTTTTGCCCCATCGGCTGTCGGTTCTTCGAGCTATACGGCCAGCCCAATGCCACTTCATATTAATAATCCGTTGGGCTATATCGGTCACTCTGGTTCTACTGCGGAAATTCTCATTTCTAAGTTTATCACGCAGAGAAACACCAAGCGTAGCCCTCTCCATAGCTCGCTGAGTGACCTTGAGCGTCCCCATTCACCCAGCATTGGAGGACCACGTCTCAGATCCATAAGTCATCACTGGCAACACGCACTGGTTACACAATCTAATTTTCAGATTTTGAGGTATACCTGACAAGAGGATGTGTCAATACAATATGAAATAAATATAACTAAAAGTTTACACGTAATACTAAAATAACTACAAAAAAGAAAAACTGAAACAAAAATTTAAATTGTTATACAATCCTACACGTCGTTTCGGGCCAAAGAACGTTGGCTGCGTTTCTTCCCTAAATGGTCTTTAAGCAAAAAAATAACCAGTACTCTTAACAACAGCCGCGACGACTGGCCGCGGATACAATTCCTTTAAGGTGATATTACACCGTTCAATCAAATTGAAACAATTCTATTGAAAAGCATTGGATATTGCACATTGATCGACTTTACCAATATACACGTATATCACGGCGCGCGTAATGAGTCCCTCACCGTTCAATCTTCATGTATACACGTTTCAACCGCATTGAACAATGACCAATATTGCCACAATTGCATTGTAAGTGTTCGGTGAATCTTAGCTTTGAATAAGATTGCGCAATCACATTGAAATGTATTTAGATTTATGAGTACCATTGAAGCAATTGAAAGCAGTATTGAATCGAAATTGAACCGTGTAATATCGGCTTTAGGAACTTTAACGCACCCCACGGACCGATAGTCGCTACATCAAATTAATGGCATAAATAAATAATCACTCTCAGCGACTCATATTTGCGCGACTTAGTTATGTTGAATAGGAATCTTCTCAAAAATAAAAAGAGAAATTCCATTGAAAGACTTGATGGCCTGTGTATATAAATGAATGACCACCCCTCGTTACCGACTTGCCACGCATTCAAACCAAACGGTTTGCTTCACCGTTCGTCATGCGTAACGTAATGAGTGGAATAAATTACCGATATCTGATCCATCTGATTACATTGTAAAGGATTTAAAGGCAAGGGTGCATAATATTTTGTTAAGCCTAGTATAAGCTTTACCGTATTTGGCTGTATCACCACTTACCATCATGTAGAATAGTAGTCAAGCACTGGCTTAGAATAGTTAAAAAAACTGTCAGTTATAGAACTGCACGTCAGAGGTGAAAACTTCTTAGCTACATAACTTGTATACATTATTATTGGGTTGTATTAATGTAACAAAACTTCTTACCTTATTGACATTTCCATACCAAACACCCATAAAATTCAATCCACCATAGCAGAAAAACTTACAACATATCAAGATTTAGCTATAGAACTCAAGCGACTATGGAGAGCAGAAACCATCCATATAGTCCCAATAGTTATCTCATCTACCGGAGTCATACCTAAAAACCTACAACGCAGTCTAGATATTTTGCAAGTACCCCAACACACACTTCACACCCTGCAGAAAGCCAGCCGACTCATACGCAAATTCCTCACCACGTCATCCGTCACCTCTGCTTACACCATCACCTAGAACCTGCTCACGCTTAGCTTCGGCCCGTGTGATTAGGTTTGAAGTTACCTCTTTAATAGGGAGAATATAGATATATACAAAATAATAATAATAATAAGCTTTTTATTTGTCTCAGTTTACACATGTTATTAAAAATTTACAAATACAAATTATCACAAACTTAACTTAGAAACTTATTTAAATAACATCACACTAATGAGACAAACTGGCCTGTGACTCAGCTATGAGTGATTTTAGATTACGGCTGGTATTCTGCCACAGCCGACTATTTAAAAAAAAACACAGTATATTAACCTAATTTTGGCATTAACGTAATACAACTAAAGAATAGACTAAATTTTTTATTCATATGTGCTATGCAAATTTCGTAAGTAGTAGGTAAAGGAGACAATCACCTCTGGGCCTACCAAAAACTTCAAGGACCCTCAATGGTATTAGTAAGAATTAAGTCAATAGTTATATATAATACTTCAAACCTGCCTCCAACTTTTGTTGTTCAAGTAACCATACTTTACATTTCTTTCTAAATAAATTTGTATATGATCTCCTGCAAAGGAGGAGGTATATTGTTCCAAATTTTGGTGGCAGCATATTTGAAACATCCTTTTGCTTTAACACGCTTATAAGTTGGAAGTATATATAATAGTTTACCCCTTCGTCTCAAACGTGTTAGTCGACATTTTGGAGATAATTTTTCATATAAATAATGAGGATATTGCGAATTATTTAATGAGTATAAGAAACAAGCATATTTTAATTTTCTAGTGTAACTCATACTTATAATATTTGAGGAGATAAGGAATTATGTGGTTAGTCCTAGGTATGTCAAAACAATAGCGCATACACGCATTTTGAACCCTTTGTATTCTCCCTATGGTTTTCTGTGAGAGGCAAGGACCATATACTAAGTCGCAATAATGCAAATGTGACAAGACAAGACTATTACAAAGACGGAGCCGGATGTTTGGTTTTAGAAAAGAACGAATTTTGTAAAGAGATTTTTAAAGACCCAAAACATTTTCCTATTTTTTGTTGTACGTGTTGTAAAAACGTTAAACCTTCATCCATATTAAGGCCCAAATTACGAATGCAATTATCTGTAGGAATAGTTGTGTCATTGATCATGACAGTTGTGATCGTGACAATTTTTTTTGTTGATAGATGCAATCTGATGACGTGTACCCATAATTATACATGTACTTTTTTTGGGATTCAGAAGCAAGCCATGATACTTTGAATTTGAATATGCTCTATTAATTTTAGATCATTATTTAAGCTGGTAACCGCTGTTGTAATACTTTCGTTTGTT